CTATGAGTCGCAAGCAACTCGACGGCACATAACGACAACAACAACAACATGAGTCATCTAATTTGAGATAGATAGAATCATCCACATTTTACCGATGAACACACTGAAGCATTGGAATGTTAAACACTTCCCCTAAGAGCACAAATCTAGCAAGCAGCACAGCAGGAATTCAAACTAATAGTCTAAGATCCTTCTAACCTTATATCTGACTCTTTATCATAACTACATATATTTTTAAGTTTTCACTGCTTTCCTCTTTTTTTTGGTAATTAAAATCTAGAAAATCTTTTCACAAAGTGCCAATTAAGAAGTACTGCCAAATACAAATAGTATTTCTAGATATTGCAAAACCACTGGACATACCCACGCATTAAATCAGAACTAATTTTTTTCTTAGCTAGCCAGATAATCTCTTGCCTCAAGTGACTCCTATGTGCACAGTCAATTATAGCTTTTCCAGAGAGTTCGTTATTTGTCTAACTTTTTTTACAGATCCTTGAAGACTCAAAGTCCTATCCCACTACTCAGCATGGAATTACATATGGCACATCTACCTCGAGATTTTGAGTTGAACTAATGACAGTATGCCCCACTTGTAGAACTCGGCAATGAGCTCCTTTGCCAGAGGAAAGTTAGCTAAGTGCTATTAAAAAAAAGAAAGAAAATAAACATCTACTACATAACTTGGGAGAGACTGAAGGGCATTATGCTGAGTGGATTAATTTTGTTTCATAAGGATATATACTGCATAATACCATTAGCATAAAAACAAAATGATAACTAGTAAAATATGTATGGACATCAAGGAACAAAGGAAGGAGTAGGAGTAGAAGGGTGAGGATGGGTAGGGGGGCAAATCATAGGGTTGCACAATTTGATCGATGGCAAAGGAAATAGATTAGGCAGGGATCTGGAAAGACAAGGTAATTGTGGGCATACTTCAATGGTGATTAATTTTGTAAAACATAATGAATGATAATGATTGTGTGAAACTCAATGTGAATGAAAAATAGGGTGAAACACAATGTATTACGAACTTGATATGCAAACCAAAGTAAAACAAAATTTTTTTAAAAACCACCATGTATAATAAAAATGGAAGACTTACCCTAAATGCTAAGACTATAATTTAATTCTATAAAATAAATATTTCAACTACTATAATATCTGACGATTTAAGTGAAGAAATTTAGAAACTAACAATTACACATCTTTCCCAAACACACTTAAGAAATTAACCGATCTATAAAACCACACTGGGTTTTAATTTCTGAGTCATTTAAAATTGTAATTTAAGTTCTAAATACTTTGTAGTAGCCCTGGAAAAGAAATACTTATGCACTGGGTTGCTAAACAAGAAGCTGACAGTTTAAACACACCAGCAGCTTACTGGAGAAAAGATCTGACAATCTCAATACACTTTCATCAACATGAGCACCTAGAAAACCCTATGCGTTAGTTCTACATTGGTATATATAGTTGCTATGTGTTGAAAAAAAAATCAATGACACACCAAATAACCCAGAAGACTCCATATTGTCCCACACTCTCTAAAGCGAAATGTAAATATTTAAAATGCATCTTTATAAACTTGACTGTATTTTATAGGATAATATAGTTAAATGCCTCAAGACAACATGCCTTATGAACATTCTCTATGAACTTAGAGAAATGACGATAGTTATAGAATCGGTTCAGGTCTTTTGTTCATAGGGTCACTATGAGTCATACCAACAACAACAACGGCTTTTAAAGAGTAGTACACTTTCCTTTATTTTTCACATCTTATTATTAGCCTCACTTAAATTGTGACAGGATAAAAAGCAGCAAAAGGAAAACAGTCATAAATTGTGTCTCTCCAAAATCTGTTATGGTTCCAAATTTCTGAATATGGATGTTTAGCTCACAATAGTAGCAACAACAACAACCATAAAAAGTATATGAAAGAGAGAGACTTAATAAAGATTTTTACAGAAAAATGAAAACATTGCTCAAAATGTTAACACTCTTCCATTACCTTAGCCAGGAAACACAAACTCCATATTCTTGACCAATCTCACATATTGAATCTACTTCGTTCAACCAATTCTCTGCTCCAACTAAATAGAATTCCTTGCTATGTTTTAAACAAATAGTGCATTTTGAAAACACTGCATTATATTTTACACTCTTCATGCTCCCCTAAAAATCTTTATTCTTTACTTTACATTTAAATATTTCATTCATTATTTAGGTTGTTGCTGTTATGTGCCATCTGGTCGTCTGCAACCCTATGTACACTATACACAATAGTGACCCTATGTACACTAGCTCTGAACCCTGTCCTATCTTTGGCCGATCTCACTGTCTGACACACCCACACCCATAAGCCCAATTACTGAGTCAATCCATCTCATCCAGGGTCATCTTCTTCTGTGCTGTCCCTCTACCCTTCTAAGCGTAATGTTCCTCTTTCAAGGACTGATCCCTCCTAGCAACATGCCCAAAGTATATAAGACAGAGCTTCAGAATCCCTGCCTCCAAGAAGCAGCCTGGTTTCACCCTCTCCAAGACAGACCTGGTTTGTTCTCATGGCAGTCAACACAGTTCTTCAGTACCACAACTCAAAGGCATCAATTCTTTTTCTGTCTTCCTTAGATCAGTACTCTGATGCATAGTAAGTAATTGCAAAGACTCTGGTTTGGATCAGGCACACTTAAGACTCTAGACTGACACTGTTGCTTTTTAGCACTCTGGAGAGGTCCCTGACAGCAGATTTTCCCAGTGCAATTTGTCTTTTGGTTTCCTGACTGCTGGTGTCAAGGGTGCTGTTTGTGGAACCAAGTAAAGTGAAATTGTTAATGTCATGATGCTGCCAATTGACCCCATTGTGAGGATTATTTGTGGTGTTTTTTGTTTGTTTTTCTTATTTGTTTGTTTTTTTATGTTGAGTTTCATTCCATATTGAAGACTGCAGTCCTTGACCATCTGCAGCAAAAACCTCAGGTTCTCCTCAGTATCAACAAGCAAGGTGTGTCATCTGCATAACCCAGGTAGTTGATGAGTCTTCCTCCAATCCTGACTCCACATTCCCCCTCATAGAGCCCAGCCAGCCTCCCAGATGATCTGTTCCAAACATAGACTGAAAAGGTATGGAGACAGGATGCATCCCTAAAATACACCTTTGCTGATTTTGAACCATGCAGTGTTTCCTTGCTCTGTTCTGACAACAGCTTCCTGGTCAAAATACAGGTTTCACATGAGCACAATTTAGTGTTCTGGGACTCTCATTCTTCTCAAGCTTAGCTACAATTTGTTGCGATTCACACAGTTACATGCTTTTTGCATAGTCAATGAAACACAGCCATTCCTCTGGCACTCTCTGCTTTCAGCTGAGATCCATCTAACAATGGCGGTAATATCCCTTGTGCCCCAGCCTGTACTTCTGGCAGTTCTCAGTTGACAATAATTTCCACACCTTTCCACCGATCCACTCTGTCTGATCACCTTTTTTTGGAATAGGAATAAATATAGGTCTCTTCTAGCCAGTTGGCCAGGTAAATTGTCCTCCAAATTTCCTGGCAATACCCGGTGAGTGGGTCTAGGCCAACATCTGTTTGCTGAAATATGTCAATTGATATTCCATCAATATCTGGGGTCTTCATTTCTGCCAATTCCTTTAGGGCAGTTTGAACTTCCTCCTTTATCACCATTGTCTCTTGATCATATGTTGTTTGCTGAAATTCTTTTGTGTCAGCCAATTCTTTTCGGTATAGTGACTCTGTGTACTCTTTCCATCTTCTTTTGATGGTTCCTGGGTAAGTCAACATTCTGCCCACAGCAACCTTTAATATTCCAACTCAAGGCTTGAATTTGTTCTTCTATTCCTTCATCTTAAGAAATGTTGAGTGAGTTCATCCCTTTTTATTTTCACAACTCCAGCTCTTTACACATTTCAGCATAATACTTTATTTTCCTGAGCTGTCCTTTAAAATCTTCTGTTCAGCTCCTTAAACTTCCTGATTTCTTCCCTTTGCTTTGACTTCTCAATGTTCTAGTGTAATATTCAGAGTCTCTTCTGCCATCCATCTTGGTCTTTTCTTCCTACTCCATCTTTATATTGACCTTGTGCATTCTTCAAGGATGATATTCTTGGCATCCTACCACAGCTCATCTGGTCTTTGCTCACTGGTTGTTAAGGTCTCAAATCTGTTCCTGACATGGTCTTTAAACTCAGGTGAGACAGACTCAAGGTCAAAATTTGGTTCTCATGGATGATTTGGTTTTCTTTAGTTTCAGTTTAAACTCACTATAAGCAGTTACTTTTTCCAAAAATTTTTTAGAGTTCCACAAATAATTCAGATACTCCAGAGTAGTTTGTTGATATTTTTTAAACAAAGTTGATTTCTAGTTTATGTATTTACTTACATACATATTATAAATCATTTCAATAGTAACATCAGTCATAATAGTTAATAATTGTTAAATGTTTATGTGCTAAGAATTAATATAATTTCTATATTACAGTGAGAAAACTGAAACTTTGAGAGAATAATTTATTTCATTATGGTAAAATCACCTCCAGATAAGCTTGATTTTAGAGATCAAATGAACTTAACTCTAATACTGCTTGTAGCCCCTCATTAGAAAATAATTTTTTAAAATGTCTTCCTTCCGTATTTCTGCAATATTTACCATTTAAAAAGCCTCATACTCACTGCCATCAATACAGGCAAATTTATTGCTGACTTGGATTCCAAGACTGTAAAATCACACGGGAGGAAAATGCCCACCTTTCCTCCTGAGGAGCAGCTGGTAAATTTGAATCACCAAAGAGGCCCAGCCTTTGAATTAGCACAACTCAGTATGGACTACACCACAAGAGCTCCCAGTAGTGGCTTTCAAATATATAAAAAACCCAAGAGGTAGTTTATTGAATTTGCTAATACAGTTCCTTCCAATGAAATAGCCTAATTAAATCTTTCCTAAAAAAACCAAAAATCTAATGCTTCTAGAAGTTTATATTAATTTATACCAAGGGATATAAATTCATTACTATTTGGTATTCTTCTACTCATTAAAAGCTCTTAAGTAGTGAAAAGAAAAATTCTACATTGAAAGGGAAAAATTAGTATTTTCAATCCTTTAACACATTATGTATATAATCTATTTTATTTACTGAGAAATACATATTTAAGTCTTAAGTACATACTATGTATATAGATGGAGGTAAACACATATGCATGTACACAAATCTGCCATTTGGATATAGTTATACACCAAGTATACTATTAAATTCTCATAAGGCAAGAGTAACAAATTAAGAAATATCTAAAATGACAGCAAACCTGATTTTTGGATTGCTGCATCTTATCTCTGTGCTGATGTGCTTCTCTGTTTGATGATAGAGCTGGATCTTGCTGAACTGCACCCACTGGAGTAGGCTACAATGCAAGAATAATTGGTATTGATGCATTCTATTGCAAAAGTCTTACTTTAAATCATTTTACTGCTCAAAGATAAAGGGGGAAATACAAGACATAAATAAATAATTTAAAGCCTGAAGAAAAGATAAAATTCTCAAAACAGAATGACATAGCTAACAAATTAAGCAAAGAGAAAGAGTCTACGGGGTTTTTTTTCAGATTTTAAATACAGAATATAATTATTTTTATATGTACAAAATATTTCCTAGTAATATTATTACTACATGTAGGTTACTCTTTCATATAAGAATAATTAAACTATACTTGATATAGTTTTCATATAAAGTATAATTATACATATATGTATATACACATATGTAAAAATGGCTCTTGTTTTCAAAGCCAATATAAAGAAAATACGCATTAATTTAAGAAGAGTAAATTTTAATATTAGACTGACAAAACTACTATTGTCACCATTTTGACTCAAGAGAAGTTTATACATAATTTTAATTATGAAAAAATTCTAAACCTACCACGAATACTTCAATCAAGGTTCATTTAGATTCACATAATATATAACAAAAATAGCCAATACTCGGCAGTTAAAAATATACAGAAAAATCTTAAGTCAAATGTTAAAATAATACTTGGTTTTCAGTTTGGTAGTTCCAAATACATATAAAATTTCACATTAAGCTACACTTAAAATTGTACAAAATAATACAGGCTTTTTTCCCCAAATCTAATGAAAGTAAACACTCAAATTTTTTTTTATCATTTTTATTGGTTTGCTTTAAAGGTTCACGTACATTGTGTTTCACACTACTCTTCATTCATATTGTGTTTCATACAATCACTTTCATGTATCATGTTTTATAAAACTAATCGCCATTGGACCTGGCTCATCATTACCCTGTCTTCCAGTTAACGTCCCCCACTTCCTCCCACCAAACTGTGATTTCGCCCCCACCTATCCTTAGCCCTCCACTCCCACTCTTCTTGCTCCTAAGTTCTCATACATGCTTCAATAGTTATTCTTCTATTTTTAAAATAATAATCTTATGCAGTTTTGGCCCTTGTAAGACTGCATTAGTTCACTCAGTATAATGCTCTCCAGCCTCTCTCAAGTTATAGTATTTTTTTTTAAATTGCTGCTCTTGCATGCTGCATAGTATTCCATTAACATTCAAATTTTTTTAAGAAATACTTTAACAAGCTTTCTTTGAGTGGTGAGTACTGATCTCACAGTCCTGACCAATGGTGATTAATTTTCTAATACAAACGCTTATAAATTATTATGAAACATAATGTGAATGAAGGAATGTGTCAAGTATAATGCATAAAGTATAATGAATGACACACAATATATGAAGAAATCATATTCAATAAAAAATTAAAAACAAAATAAAAGCTGTGAAATGAGTACTTTTTTATTGTTATTAATTTCAATGAACATCTATATAGATTTTGGAATTCCATAAATGAGTACATTTTTTAAAAACTAAGTATGTTCCAATTTATAAGTACCAATCTATTCTCCACATTGCTCCTAGTATTATCATTGTGTTACCATAAAAGTAAAATTTGTTTTTATAAACATTGAATATTTTGAAAAGCAGCAACAGTAAACAAGGGGGGAAAAACAGCTGAGCTTTTTACATAATTAGTAGTATATTATGAGAACTAAATTAGTAATAAAAATCTCAAAATAACTGATCATTCAAAAATTCAGGAATTTCAAATGTTTTAATACACTTTAAAAAATATTTACACTATATTATGTTTAAAATTTTTGATATAAAGAAAATAAAAATATTTCTTTTTAAAATTAGCTATTCTAACCTCTTTTCAATGTAAAGACTTATACTATGAAAAAGATGACTATTATAAACAGTATTTCAGTATACAGTATAGTACTTACCAACTGTTTACCAATCCAGTCATATTCATAATCAAACATATATCCTTTTCGATCAAACAAGTCAGTAAAAAGCTTTCTTAGGTAGTCATAATCTGGTTTTTCAAAGAAATCTAGCCTTCTTACATAACGAAGATATGTCGCCATTTCTTCTACAAAGGAAATTAAAATTATTCTGACCATACATTTCTTTCACTTTCATTAATAATAACATTTTAGAGGCAGTTGCTGAGAAGATTCTCTCCACTCCCCCAACTCTGCAATAAAGTGCTTTGGATATTAAAAAATATATATATAAAATAATATTTTAATGTCTAAAAATGTTATATTGTTAAAACCATGGGGAAAAGTCCAAAACTTTCCTGAAAATAAAAAAACTTTACTGCATTTCAAATTCTCTGCATTTTAATATAGTGAAATAAAAAACAGAAAAAGAAAGAAGGAAAATAGGGAAAGAAGAAACATGAGAGGTTTAACTTAACCATAATTATTTTGTACTTCAATGCATTAGGATAGGTTAAAATTTTCATTTTAAATTCCTATTTTTAACTTCTTTGATAGTAGTAGTTGAATTAACAATAAAAATACATGGTTACTCAATAAAAAACACCACAAACATCCTACAAATTTAAAAAATATTTCAAATAATACTTATGGGAACTAACTTACATGAAAGCATTCATAAGCTTGTTAGAATCCCTTGACATAAACTAATTGATCAATATAGGCTTCCAATTTCTAAGCTTGATTATGGATAATATTCTAAGCAATTAAACTAGCAAAATGAAGCTTGCACATGATCTGCAGAAATTTGATAAAAGAACACTGTGCAAGTAATTTCTTATTTTTTGGTCACATGATTTTGCTAGGGAGCTCTAGTGGCTTAGTGGCAAAGAGTTGTACTACCAATTCTAAGGCACTTGGTTTGAATCCTCCACAGGAGGATGGGCCATCGCCTCCAGCGTGATTAACTGTCTTCGAAACCTATTTGGAGGATCAGCCATGAGTTGTTTCTTATTTGACGGTAAAACAACAATGCTCTTGTTATTATGTGCTGTCAAGCTGTTTGTGACTCTCATCAACATTACGAACAATAGCTCTAAATCCAGCCCTACCATGAGCCAATGTCACTGCTTCTAATACACCTACCCTCACTATCCCTGTTAAACTGTGTCAATCCATCTCCTCCAGGATCTTCTCTTGTGCTGTCCCTCTAAGGGCTGGTCCTTCCAGGCTGGAGCTTCAAAATCCTTCACCTTCTCCAGGACAAATCTGTTTGTTCCCTTGGCAGTCTACAGTATGTTCAGTACTCTTCTCTAGCATCTCAACTCAAAAGCAGCAGTTCTTCTGTCATCCTTAGTCATTGTCCAACTCTCTGATACAAAGCAAATAACTGCAAAGACTATGGTCTGGATCTGGTGCACCTTTGTCTCTAGACTTGACATCATTGCTCTTTAGCACTCTGGAGTAGTCCCTGAGGGCAAATTTTCCTAATACAGTTAAGTTTTTTAATTTCCTGACTGCTTGTGCCAAGAGTACTGTTTATGGAACCGAGCAAGCTGAAATTGTTAACAATCTCAATCTCTTCTCCATCAGTCATGATGCTACCCATTAATCCAGTGGTGAGAATCTTTGTCTTCTTGATGTTGAGTTGCAATCCCTATTGAAGACTACAGTTCTTGACCTTTAGCTCCAAATGCTTCGGGTCTCCATAAGTTTCATCAAGCAAAGTTGTGTCATATGCATACACAGGTTGTTGATAATTCTTCCTCCAATCTTGGTGCCACATTCTTTGCAAATGATCTGTTCTGCAGCTAGACTGAAAAGATATGGAGATAAGACACATCCTTTACACACTCCTTTCCTGATTTTGAATCATGCAGTGTTTTCTTGCTCTGTTTTGCCAACTGCTTTCTAGTCCACGCACAGGTTTCTCATGAGCACAACCAAGTATTCTGGAATTCCCATTCTTCTCAAGGCTAGCTACAGTTTGTTGTGATCCACAGTCAAATGCCTTTTCATAGTTAATAAAACATAGATAGCCATTCCTCTAGTACTCTGCTTTCAGCCAAGATCAACCTGACATTGGCTATAATGTCCCTAGTGCCAAAGCCTCTTCTAAAGATGCTGTCAAATCAACTATAACTAACGGTACTCATTGTACAGCAGATCAAAACCTTATCCAGTCCTGTGCCATCCTTACAATCTACAGTGCACTACAACCCATTATGGCAGTCACTGTCTCAAGCCACCTCATTGTCTTCTTTGTCTTTGTAACAATTATTTGTCAATATACAAATCTCTGCACACCAATGTAATGCTCAAATATTCTTTTCTTTATTTTGTCCAATAATGCTTTTCAGAAGATAAAGAAGGGGAAATCCATAAAAATCAACAGAAAGAAAGATGAATAAGTCAGCGTTTTACTATAAACACGGATAAATATTATAAAAAGAGTATGTTACACATAGCTCCTTCTCTCTTGCAATTCATTGACAGTAACCAATAAGAACAAGATCACACCAGGAAAGAAAAGTAGGATCTAGTGACCTTATTAACATGCTGACTCTGTCATTATCTCCCACTTTGCACTGGTAAAATGACTAATTTACTTGGGCACACTCCTGTTTCTAGCAAGAATTTAATGACAAACAACTAATCTGTCTTCACATAAACAGCTAATGACTATCAACTGATTTTCTTTCAATATTCCAGTTATTGATGTAAAAGGAAGACAAGAAAAAAGCACACATAAAAAATTTAAAATAAATCCTATGAATCTTACAGTGACTTCTGAGAATGACAACTAACAAGCTAATTAAATATTGTTGAGTCATCAGGTTAAGTACAATTCAAAGAAACCTTAAAAACAACAGAATTAAACCCTGCCCTATCCTGCGTCATCTTCACTACTGCTTGAGACACTATTATAGTTACTGTGTCTAATCAACTTGTTGAGGGTCTTCCTCTGACCTTTACCAGTATAATGGTCTGGGGTTTTCTTTCCCCAAGGACTGTCCTTCTTGGTTTTATGTCCTAAGTATGTGAGACAGAATTTCACCATTCTTGCCTGTAAGAAGTACCCTGGCTGCACTTCTCTAAGATAAACCTGTTTGTTCTTTTGGAAGTCCATGGGATACCAACACAACAGTTTAAAGCCATAAATTCTTCAGTCATTCTTATTCATTGTCCAATTTTCAGATGCCTAAAAAAGTAAATGAAAGATCATTTCTTGGATCAAGTATTGTTGTTGTTGTTATGTGCCGTCAAGTTGCCTTCGACTCATAGCGACCCTATGTACAACAGCCCTAAACTCTGCCCGATCCTGTGCCAATCTCACTGTCTCTGACACACCAACCCAAATTACTCCAGTCACTGAATCAATACATCTCATTGAGGGTCTTCCTCTCCTGCGTTGTCCCTCCACTCTCCCAAGAATGATGTCCCTCTCCAAGGACAGGTCCCTCCTTGCAACATGTTCAAAGTATGTCAGACAAAGCCTCAGAATCCTTGACTCCAAGGAAAAGAGTGCTCGTTAGCACTTTGGAGAGGTACTTGATAAAAGATTATCCCAATGCATCTTTTAATTTCTTAACTGCTGCTACCATGGAAGTTGGTTATGTAAACAAAATTAGGTTGGAATTGACTCAATAACAAATTTGGGGTTTTGTTTTAAAATTTTAGGCCTCTGAATTCCTATTTTATCTGATGGGTCATAACTGGCTGTGAGTTCGAGTCCATATGTCAGTAACTAAAAACAATTCAGTTCTGAAATATCTTCTCTAGGGCCAGTGGGAACTCTTTTACGATACAGCCTTTGTCTTTTTACATGTCTACAACATTCTTGTGTTTGGTGAACACAAGGAACAAGTCTTTGGTGGAGCTCCCCAATTAAAACAAGCTTGGAAGCAGGAGTGGCATCCACTTCTGAAACAGTTTGCTTCTGGAAAGCCTATGAAATTGGAGGAATGAAGAAAGTTATACAAGTGTTCAGATCTTTCATTCATAGGGTCATTATGAGCTGCCTACAACTCGATGGCATTTAAGAAACACAACATAGAGCTCAGTTGGCCTAATGGACAAAAAGTGATGCTATCAAGCCAAAGGTGGGTGACTTTAATCTGAGTCCCTTAGGCCTGCTTTTAATTGTTTTTGGTCAAACATCCTTCTAGGTGGTAGAGCACTGGTCTGTCAATTTGCTGTACAGAGGTAACTCATGGTTGCTGTGATGCTAAACTCTGTGACACTGATGTGCCAAATGCAATATTGGTCACCCATGGCAGACAGTGTTTGATGGAGATCTCAGATTAAAATAAGCTTGGAAGCAGGAGTGGCATCCACTTCTGAAATAGCTTGCCTCTGGAAACCTTATGAACTTGGAGAAACAAAGAAAGTTATACAAGTGTTCAGATGTTTCATTCATAGGGTCACTATAAGTTGCCTACAACTCGAGGGCATTTAACAACAACAAACATCATTCTTTAAGCATTATATATTTTATAGTACAAAATACATTCCAATCTTACATTGTTTTAGTTTGCCACTAGTCCCGGAATCAAGGATTTCTCTCAGGATCCCTGGCTTTATTTTATTTGTTGTTATATGATTTTATGTAATCTGTAGAGCTGAAGCCAATCATAGATGACCCTCCAGTGGGTTTTCAGAGGCATTAAGTCACAAGAGAAGAGACTGCCCATCTTTCTCCTTTGGAGCAGCTGACAGATGAAGATGGGCAATGGAATCAGTGAACCCAATGCCTGAAGCGCCCTGAGTTTTATAGATATATATATTAAGTGGGGAATAGTATTTAGAAGCCAAGATCTGGGTATTTAGTGTGCTCATTTTTTTTTCTCCCACATGTATCTGTGTTTCATTGACTATGCAAAGGCGTTTGACTGTGTGGACCATAACAAACTATGGCTGACTCTGAGAAAAATGGGAATCCTAGAACACTTGATCGTTCTAATGTGAAACCTATACTTAGACCAAGGTGCAGTCATCAAAACAGAGCAGGGAAACACGGCATGGTTCAAAATTGGGAAAAGTGTACACCAGGGATGTGTCTTATCTCCATACCTTTTCAACCTGTATGCAGAAGAGATTATCTGAGAGACTGGGCTCTATGAGAAGTGTGGCATCAGGATTGGTG